AAGCTGAAGTAGGACTGAACAGTTGCATGAGGGCGTAGGTCGACAGAAGCGAAACCTGGGAGCTTTCAGGAAGTGCTAGTGGAACAGACAATCTGCTGCACAAATGCCAAGACTGACTTATTGCCTATGCGCAGAGGCCCCTGCGGTCGTTCGGGCTGGGTCAGCAAACAAGGCTGACCCGCTACGACGGGGCCTAACGGAAGAGACCCTGCTCAATAGATTGGGTGTCTGTTAGGTAGTAGTTGATGAAGACGTTCTGCGTTATCCAGAAGCCTGCCCTCAGAATGTGTTTGAGGGGGGCACCTGACGCTAGCGCTAGTGAGTTAGCAATCGCACGGACCTCATGTTCTCGTACTTGGTGTCTCTGCAAGGTCTGTGTTGAGGAGGATAGTGTATTATAGACCTCCAGTACAGTCGCAGTAATCCACCTGGAGATGGAAGTCGGGGAAGCCGGCTTATCCTGTTTGCCAGGGCCGTAACACAAAAACATGTGTTTGGTTCACCGTCTAGAAAACCTGGTACGGTTCTCGTAGCCACTCAGCGAAGAAGCGATTCCTCCTGATCCTCCGGACCGACAATATTTGCCAGCCGGGGGATGACGATCAGTTGAGGATCGTGTCCTGGGATTTGGTTCTTGGCGAGACACCCGATTCGTGTCTTTAATACAACTTGATCGTCCATAAAAGCGGCACAACCATCCGCGAAGGACAATGCGCGCCTAGCTATGACCGGCGCCTACCTGAGGCGGGGGCCAGTAGGAAGACTATTTTCCACGTCAAAAATTTGAGTGGTGCTGATTGGAGAGGCTCAAAGGGCGGTCTGCTTAGAGCAGACAACACAGCCGACGAGTCCCAGTTGGGCAGCTCCCTTGTATGGGGTCTTGGCGTCTGGAAAGCAGTAAATAGTCTCCTAATAATAGGACAATCGGCTAGTCTTGTTCTCATACATTCTGAGTGGTGGGGGACAAGACCGACCTGCAGGGCTCGAAATTAGCGGTGGTCTTGCGTCCAAAGACCACCCAATTCTCGTTTTGGACCACGAAATTTAATTCTCAGTGGT